CAAAATAACCATCAGACATTGCAGCACTGGCCAAATCAACTGGGACAATTGGTTAGACTGCAGCCAGACTAAAAATTAAAAATTTTTCCAGAAATTTTAGGCAATGACGTGAAAAGAACGTAGTGCTACGCCAAACTGTGATAACGTAGTAGTGGAAGTTCAAACACGTCACCGCGACTTTTGTCGATAAAAGCATAAACAGAACTGAGAAATGTGAATAAGAGCTTCGCAAAAGATTTTTTGAACCGAAAAATACAAGTAAAATGTACCCTCTCCTTCCAAAAAAAAAAAACGCGAGTACCTGTAATCGAAGATCGGCATCAACAGCCAAAAGTGCACTCCATTGTGATGCAACAATATTCGCTGCACATTCCAGAAGAACCATTGGTACGGTCCTGTCACCAACACCAGCTTCCAGAGTAACAATAAGCGTGTCCATTTTTACCGTCCCCTGTACGAAATTATCAATCCAAATTAATCATACTGAACAAAAAAAGTGTTCAAGTCTTAATTACGGCAAAAAAATGTAGGAGCAGCTGCTCCGAGCGTGTGTGTGTGTGTGCATGTATGTATGTGTGTACACCTCAGCAACACCGAATTACAATGATAAGTAACGGTCATTAGAAGGCCGAATCATAAGTGAACGGTTCAAATGGAGCGCCTGAAGCGAGTTAAACTGATAAATAATTTGCGGCCCTTGATAGGCCCAACCGTAATTTCTGAGGTAAACGGCCAGTCCGAACCGTGAAAACATGTAACAGTCGATTGGAGAGCCTGCATCAAACACGGAAGCAAAAGGAGAACGATAGCAAGAAACAACTAAGAGGAGGATGAAAATCGCAAGTAAACAAACAAATGTAGTACTTGTTGCTCGTGATCGATAGCAGCAACAACATCCAGAGCAGGCTCAAAATCCTCTTGCTCCTCTTCTGGTACATTGAACCACCAATGCTTGCTTTTGTTAATTTTACGTTTTTGCCAATAATTTGGATATTTTTTAAGTATCGCCTTCCGTGCAGTTGATGAACCATCCTAAACAGAATCAGTTTACCATTATCAAATCACTAAATTAATCATTGTCGTTATTGCTGTCACTAGCACCTCTTAAAAATGACATGCCACTGCTCTAAAGCCTTTTTTGTAAAACGACGGAATATATTTTCTTTGAAAAAAACAGCGTTAGAAAGATACACCTGTGTGCCAGAAATTACGCAAAAAAACACATACCTGTACAGTGCTTGCCGCTGAGTAACTTGAAGCAACAGCGCTTAGCAAACGTATGATAGCTGGTGAGATTTTCACATATATTTCACCAATACTGACCAAAAAATGCTCTGATTTCGTCTTCTTGTCAGTTGTTAGCTCAATTTCGAGATTTGTCCGTTTCAGCACCTAAAAAGTACTAAACATGTATCTATTTCTCCCGCACTTTTGTTCTACATTCTTCAAGTGTCAGAACCTCAGTAAAAATATATGACAGACAAAATTTTGCATACATTTCCAGAACAAGAGTAAGTCAATAATTCCATTAAAAAGTAACCTGATATGGTGTTTGATCGCGCTTTGATTCCAGGTAATAAGCGCTAACAATCTGCAGGTTTTTAACCCCGCCAGCAATCACTTGTTTTTCGTTGTCCTACAAATACAAAAAGTAATAAATCGACAAGGCAGAAAAAAAACTTCTGACAATCAACACCTACAACTATCACAAAAAAATTTAAAACTATTACAAAAAATGTAAAAATGAATTGCTTAGTGACGTTGTTCCTAACTAATCATGATGAATTTTGTCAATTCCAAAAAGTACTTCAAGCACTGGCTTTTCTTGATAAGCCCAGCAAATTAGTGCACTAAAACTGTGTTGTATCTCCCTTTTCAAAAACAAACATGTGTACTGTCTGATAAAAAAATATTCCGTATCATAACGTATGAAGCTAGATCGGTTATGTGGCAAGGACGACAGG